GTCACACCAATTAAAGCTCTGATACATCTGCACAGAAAACACTGAGGCAATACAACAAAGGGAAAGAAATACACAGAATACGGAGTGGGGGGGTGAAGACGCCGGTGGCTGAAATGGGTATTTAATTACCGTTGGTGCAGCTCCTCTTCTACAGATTTCAGAAGGCTCCTATAAATCAAATCACAACGGTTATTGTGAAAAAAATAAAATTCTGTTTTTGCTGGCATTTCTTAAACATAAAGCACAGAAATAATAACAATGACAGATATAATATGATTAGCTGCTATAGGCAACACCACTTTTGGAATCCTCTATTTTTACATAGAAACCAATGTATTTTGCATACAATTTGTTTGTTTTTTTAACTTCTATTAAAGTGGAATTAAAGGAGAACTCCAGAGACTGTCTATAGGATCAAGCCAGCCCCAGGAAACTGTATGGTAATCAATTTTCTTCAACAAGCTTTAAATATTACTTTTTTTTTTTTTTATCAATGTGGTAATGTGACCATTTCAATCATCATTCCTTTACCCTTCATAGTATATGGGGATAAGAGCCATGCTCAATAAGTCTACATCATCGTGGTGTGCATCCTCATTTGGACAATTGCAACTCATTTGCATTATCACTTTGGGTTTGATTGTAATGACATTGCCTCTGTAGCTTAACGTACTATAGGGGAGTGTTTGTGAGACTTGAGCTGGTTGTGTGATGCAGCCTGTTTCACAGCCGAAAGCTTCCTTACAAGTAAGGAATTATAAGCCTCAGTGCATGGACTATATAAAGAAGTGATGGTGCTTTCAGTGCTTTTTTTTTAGGGATGGTACTCCCCCTCACAAACTGCTAGTCTTGGAATGTTAAATCCTTAAAATGTAGTTTCATGTTAAAATACACAATACCTCCAGTTATGTGAAGTCCCTACCACTGACATTTTCAAATGTTTTTCTACTCAGTTAGATTGCGTCAGCCACCATGAACAGCCAGTGCACATTGAGCTGTACATGCACAGCTTGAATATTGCTGGCAGACAGAAGAGGAGCCTTTGCTGCAAAACAGATAGAGTTTGTTTTGCAATAAAGCTTGCCTGCCAACAATTTCTCATTGTAATGTTTTAGTTTCACTTTAACTTCATTTCAGGTTCTAAACTGAATATGTAGCCCACTTTACACAAGACCTTAACCCTTCTTAACCACTTCCTGATCGTGCTATAGCTGAAAGACAGCTACAATGCAGCTCTCCAGTTCTGGGAGGACGACCAAAGATGTCCTCCCCCGTGTGTGCCTGGGGTGCCCATTGGGCGTGTTCTGTGACCGCTGTGTCACAGATCGCAGTAATGGGACAATAACAGTGGCCATTTACCATGTGATCAGCTATGTCCAATCACAGCTGGTTACATGTAAACAGACTTGCCGGTTACCGGTATTCCTTTCCTCACATGCTGTCTCTGTGTAAGGAAAGAGGAGCCGATATTTGGCAAGTCTGACAGTACATTGTTTACACTGATAATTCAGTGCCCTGATTATAACTGCAGCCCCATCAGTGCATGTTATCAGTTCTGCCTATCGGTGCCTCCTCTTCAGTACCCATCAGCACCAGTATCGCCTCATCAATGCCCATCAGTGCAGCCTCATCAGTGCCGCCTCATCAGTGCACATCAGTGAAGAAAAAAGTACTTATTTGAAAAATTTTATAAAACAGAAACTAAGAAAATATTGTTTCCCAAAAAATTGTGTCTTTTTTTGTTTGTTTAGCAAAACATAAAAAACCCAGTAGTGCTTAAATACCACCAAAAAAAAAGCTCTATCTGTGAAATTTTTTTTTACTTGGGTGCAGTGTTGCATGACTGCACAATTGACATTCAAATTGTGACAAGTCTGAAATCTGAAAATTAGCTTGGGCAAGAAGAAGTTGAAAGTGCCCAGTATTGAAGTGGCTAAATTAGACTGGGAGTGAAGAAATGATGCTACAGTATCCTTGAAATGTACCAGAGAAAGTGGTGCCATTATACCATTTCTACAGTCTGCCGGGGCTGTGCAAATCTCAGGACTGGAAAGAAATCCAAAATCTTTGGAATGTAATGCAGACTTTATTTATATAGTGGTTTGCCTGGAGTTCAGCTTTAAAATAAAGTATAGTCACATTAAGTGATACACTAAGTCTGACAGTTTCAGGGGGTTTTTACAGCCAGATACAGCGGGTAAAGTAAGTATTGAACACGTCACCGTTTTTCTTAGTAAAAATATTTCTAGCGGTCTTATTGATATGAAATGTTCACCACGTGTCAATAGCAACCCATGCAATCCATGCATACAAAGAAACCAAAAACAAATAAGTTCAGAAATTAAGTTATGTGTAATAAAACGGAATGACACAGGTAAAAAGTATTGAACACCTGGAGAAAGGGAGGTGCAAAAAGGCATAGAAAGCCAAGACACCAGCTGAAATCAATAATTAGAAAGCAATTCTGCCTCTTGTCAATGCAAAGTAATATCAGCGGGTTCAGTATCAACGGATTGCCTATTAAAAGGTGTCTCATTACCAAGGTGCCACACAAGAAAAATCTCACGATTGGGTAAAAGCAAAGAGCTCTCTCAAGACCTTCGCATCCTTATTGTTGCAAAACATACTGATGGCATTGGTTACAGAAGGATTTCTAAACCTCTGAATGTTCCAGTGAGCACTGTTGGGGCCATAATCCAGAAGTGGAAAGAACATCCTTTCACCATAAACCGGCCACAACCAGGTGCTCATCGCAAGATTTGACAGAGAAGTGAAAGAATTATGAGTTGTCCAAGAGCCAAGAACCACTTGTGGAGAGCTTCAGAAAGACCTGGAATTAGCAGGTACAATTGTTTCAAAGAAAACAATAAGTACTGCACTCAACCACCGTGGCCTGAATGCACGCTTGCCACACAAGACTCCATTGCTGAAGAAAAAGCATGTTGGAGCTTGTTTTAAAGCTTGAACATTTATACAAGTCTATGAAATACTGGGAGAATATAGTCTGGTCAGAAGAGAAAAAAATTTTACTCTTTGGATGCCATAATACACACCATGTTTGGATATCAAATGGCACTGCACATCACCACAAAACCACCATACACACAGTGAAGTTTAGAGGTGGGAACATTATAGTGCGTGACTGTTTTTCAGTATACAGTACTGGCAAACTTCATATCATTGTTAGCGTATCAGTTAGCGTGTTCAATACTTTTTCCCTATGTCATTTTATTAAACATAACTTAATTTCTGGACTTATTTGTTTTGGTTTCTTTGTATGTATGGATTGCATGGGATGTCACTGACATGTACTGAAAATTTCATGTCAATAGCATATATTTACTGTGAAAAATGGAGATGTATTCAGTACTTTTTTTTAACCGCTGTATTTTCTTGATAACTTGATGACAAATGAGGTTTTCTTACAGGCTGAAATATTCCCTTCAATAATCCCGCAGTCAAGCTTTGTGTGGCCCAAAATGACTGACCGTTAAATGGAACTGAGATATGAAACCAATGTCAGACATCCCTGTTGTGCAAGTTGGGTCCTAACATATCCTAAAGATATTACAAGATAAAATACCTTGTTTTCTTTGGTTTATTTCATAAAAGCAAATTTAAAAACATTATTCCCTTCAACTATAACATACACTATATTGCTCCCTGGGAGCGTGCGGCACCGCAATCCGGGGCCCGCTGTGTCCGGAGGGCACGCGGAACACCGATTGCTGTACGGGACTTCTGTGTGAGGTCCCAATCATTTGATCACTGATTGGCCAATCAGTGATCACATGAATAGTAGTAAACAAGATGTCACTTCCTGACATCATTGATTACTACTTGTGAAATCTGTGAATGATCACAGAGGTCACATGGTACAAGGCTATTCACAACAGCCTTGTACGATGTGACAAGCTGTGACCAATCACAGCATTTCTCAATGGCTGCAAGAATGCAGCCAGAGAGAAGGAGAAATTATTGCTTTTACAGCCTTTATGGGTGTAAAAGCAATCAGTGTAAAAAAAAAAAAAATATATCTTCATCACTGTCACCCCCCACAAAGTAGTACAGTGTCACTATGGTGACACTGAACTACTAGGGTGACAGTATGTAATGTAAGAAACAAAAAAAAAAAAACAATTATAAAAAAAATAAAATAAAAATGTAAAAAAAAACATTTAGAACAATTATACTTTTTGGTTATAAACTAATTTGGGTTATTTTTTTTTTTTACTAAAAAGATAGCTGAATACATTTTGGCCAAGATTTATAAGGAAAGGTTATTTATTTGCAAAATGTTATAAGAAAAAAACACTTTTTTTTCAAAATATTTGGATTTTTTCATTTATATAGCAAAAAATAATAAAAATCCCAGTGGTGAATAAATACCACTAAAATAAAGTTTTATCTGTCTCAAAAAAAATGCAAAAAAATTAATATGGGTACAGCGTTGCATGACCGCGCAATTGCCATTTAAAGTGTGTTAGCACTGAAAGCTGAAGCTTGACCTGGACTGGAAGGGGGTGAAAGTGTCTAGAAGTGGTTAAGTTGGCCCACCCTTTTTGCAGCTACAACAGCTTCAACTCTTCTGGGAAGGCTGTCCACGGGAATGTTTGACCATTCTTCCAGAAGTGCATTTGTTAGGTCAGGCACTGATGTTGGACAAGTAAGCCTGGCTCACAGTCACCGCTCTAATTCACTCCAAGGGTGTTCTATCGTTGTGAGGTCAGGATTCTGTGCAGCCCGGTCAAGTTCCTTCACCCCAAACTCGCTCATCCATGTCTTTATGGACCTAGCTTTCTGCACTGGTGCACAGTCATGTTGGCACACGAAGGGGCCATCCCCAAACTGTTCCCAAAGGATTGCTAGACAGAGAACCGTGATTTGTCACTCCAGAGAACACATCTCCACTGCTCTAAAGTCCAGTGGTAGTGTGCTTTACACCACTGCATCCAACACTTTACATTGCACTTGGTGATGTAAGGTTTGGATGCAGCTGCTCAGTCATGGAAACCCAGTCCATGAAGCTCTCTATACACTGTTCTTGTACTTATCTGAAGGTCACACGAAGTTTGGAGATCTTTGGCAATTGACTCTGCAGTCAGTTGGTGACTTCTGTGCACTGTACGCTTCAGCATGCGCTGACTCTGCTCTCTTGTTTTATGTGACCTACCACTTCGTGGCTGAGTTGCTGTTGTTCCCAGTTGCTTCCACTTTGTTATAATACCAATAACAGTTGCCCCTGGAATATTTAGTAGCAAGGAAATTTCACGGATGGCCCCGGTGGCAACCTAACACAGTACCACGCTTCAATTCACTGAGCTCCTGAGAGCGACCCATTCTCTCAAAAATGTTTGTAGAAGCAGTCTGCATGCCTAGGTGCTTGATTTTATATACCTGTGGCCATGGAGGTAATTGGAACACCTGAAGCCAATGATTTGTAGGGGTGTCCCAATACTTTTGGCAATATAGTGTACTTGAAATGGATGACAATGTACATTTATAGTCAAAACTTATCTTCCAGTATAATTAACCAAAGATAATTTCTATCTGTATTCTATCTATTTATAATTTAGCCAGTGAAGCAAACAAATAGCAATCAACTGCCTATTCCCTGTGTGACATGAATATATCATGTTGGAAGCAAACCAAACATTGCTGCAAAATTGCCCGCTGAGCCAGAGAATAATTGGTTTGTGTAAAAATTCAATTTACACCCCAATTCATATCCTCAGTTTGGTCAGAAGATAGCACAGATGCTGCTTTAAACTATAGCGCTTCCACCTAGTTTTTAACATGATCTTCAAATGAGACAATATTCACTTAAACAAGGTTGGCAAAAGGAACAAAAAAAGCTGAAAAAGAAATGCATCCTTTACTAAGGGATAATTTATCTTCCACACAAGTGCCTGCAATAGAAAATCTCTACATGTTTTGCACCTACCTCCTAGCAAACACTAAAGAGCACAGGGTGCCTCAAGCTGGTCTTATGAGGAAAGCTTTCTTTTCCTTGCAAGTTGTGAACTCAAACAGAAATGTTTGTGTTTTAGGATTTCTATTTCTTGTGCTTAAGGTATCTGTTATACTTTTTTTTTTTATTTGCACTAAAAGTTAAATTTTTCAGGACCGGCTTTTGGGTGTCTACCCTCTTCTTCTAGATCAAAGCAGTACTGATACAGATACACAGAGGCTTAGTAAAATGTTAAGACTGAATCTGCAATTGCAATACCATCAACCATGACAGGGCGTATAACCCCTGCTGTGGCTGCGACATGTGTACATCTCTGGCCACTGCAGCTAAAGTGGGTCCAGTTGGGGCAGGGGTGGTAAAAACACATCTTAACTAAGGGGTTTTACTACCCCCAAACGGCAAATGTAAATTAACCCTTACTGTTCTGATCCCTATAAAGCTGCTTTCACACTGATGTGCTTTGGTTTACCATGGGTGCACCGCAGTGCATCTGCAACTTTCCGGGGTTATAGAGGAATAGAAAGTAGGTGGCACATATCCTGTATTGTATCACAGGTTATGGCATTTACAATAAGTCACAATTCCTCTTGTCTTAATCATAGAGTACAGGACACAGGCTAAGTAATTATAGACCCCTGGAGCATGTTTCCAAAGGTTATGATAATAAGGGTTGTCAACTAGAGCAGCCTTTTCTTCAACCAGGGTGCCTTGAGGTTTCTTGAGGTTCCTTGGCAAAATGTCTAAAATTTACCCAAAACTTGTATACAAGTTTTCCAGAGGGTGGAACTTGTATAAGCCTGCCTGCCTTTTAGTTACACAAAGCCACAGGTTTTCATTGTGCACCATTACGACCTTCTAGCCAACAGCATCCTGGCAACCAATGACATCATCAGTTGATAAGGAGGATGTCGGCTGCTGCCTGCACAGTATCCTAGTTTGATCTTCCCCTACCACTCCATCAATGCTGGGATCACTTTAGCTCAGTGATGGAGAAAAAATGAGGAAGAAGAGAAACCCTGGAATACTACTCAGTACCAGTGTGCAAAAGTGTATTTGCTGTGGAAGAATAAATCACCTCTATTGTTGGTTGTCCTACATGTGTGGATGTTTCTGCGTTTATATATAACTATTAGAATAGTTTTTCACATTTTAGAATGGGGTGCCTCAAGACTGTCCATAATTTTAAAGGGTGCCTCGGGATTGTCCATAGTTTTAAAGGGTGCCTTGACTGAAAAAAAGTTGAGAAACACTGAACTAGAGAAACAGAACTTTGTCAACAGGAACAAAAAATAAACATAAACAGACCCAACTTAACGAGTGCTGCTGCAAGAACCTTTCAGCAGAAGGCTGCATCCGCAGAAGACTGGATGTCTACCCGGTAACATTTTGAAACGGTATGAACATTAGACCTGATGGTGGCCTTACAGAGCTAGGCTACAAAGGCCTAGCGTCAGAATGCCCAGAAAACACTGACTGATCTAGTCTACCCTCCCTCCTTCTGGGTTTCCCTTTACCCAGGTCCCTCAGCTCCTTTTCCCGAATTACTCTTGCTCCCCCTCCCCCAACCCTTCTCCCCTTTACCTCCTCTTCTCTGCTTTTATTTTGTGATCTCCACTTTCACTTGTGATCACCTTCCTGTATTAATTTGTTATGGGCCTATCTATTCTTTAATAACCTTTTTACTATTGATACAGTTGCAAGAAAAAGTATGTGAACCCCTTGGGATTACGTGGAGTTTTGCATGAATTGGGCATAAAATGTGCTCTGAACGTCATCTAAGTCACAACAATAGAAGAACACAGTCTGCTGAACATAATACTACACAAACATTAGATGTTGCCATGGTTTAATTGCACATAACATGTAAACATTCACAGTGCAGGGAGGAAAAAGTATGTGAACCTTTGCACATAATAACTGGTTGACCCTCCTTTGGCAGCAATAACCTCAACCAAATGTTTCCTGTAGTTGCAGATCAGACCTGCACAACGATCTGGAGTAATTTTGGACCACTCTTCTTCACAAAACTGTTTCAGTGTAGCAATATTCTTGGGATGTCTGGTGTGAATCGCTCTCTTAAGGTCATGCCACAGCATTTCAATCGGGTTGAGGTCAGGACTCTGACTGGGCCACTCCAGAAGGCGTATTCTGTGCTGTTGCAGCCATTGTTTTGTTGAATTACTTGTATGCTTTGGGTCATTGTCCTGTTGTACCATCACCCATCCTCTGCGGAGCTTCAGTTGGCGGACAGATGGTCGTACATTTTCCTGCAAAATGTCTTGATAAACTCTGGAATTCATTTTCCCATCAATGACAACAATCTGTCCAGGCCCTGAGGCAGCAAAGCAGCCCCAAACCATGATGCTCCCTCCGCCATGTTTTACAGTGGGGATGAGGTTTTGATGTTGGTGCGCTGTGCCTTTTTTTCTCCACACATAGTGTTGTGTGTTCTTCCCAAACAACTCAATCTTGGTTTCATCTGTCCACATTATATTTTGCCAGTAGTGCTGTGGAACATCCAGGTGCTCTTTTGCAAACTTCAAACGTGCTGCAATATTCTTTTTGGACAGCAATGTCTTCCTCCGTGGTGTCCTCCCATGTACTCCATTCTTGTTAATGTTTTCCTTATTGTAGACGTGTCAACAAAAATGTTAGCATGTGCCAGAGATTTCTGTAGGTCTTTAGCTGACAATCTGGGATTCTTCTTTACCTCATGCAGCATTCTGCGCTGTGCTCTTGCAGTCATTTTTACAGGACGACCACGCCTAGGGAGAGTAGCAACAGTGCTAAACTTTCTCCATTTGTAGACAGTCTGTCTTACCGTGGACACATGAACATCAAAGGCTTTTGGAGATACTTTTGTAACCCTTTCCAGCTTCATGCAAGTCAACAATTCTTGATCGTAGGTCTTCTGAGAGCTCTTTTCTGCGAGTCATGGTTCATATCAGATGGTGCTTCTTGAAACCAGTAAACCCAAAACAGGTGTGTGTTTTTTAAGGGCAGGACAGCTGTCAGCAACACATCCAATATCATTTCACACTGATGATATTCAAGGTTGGCTCACTCCTGGCTCCAATTAGCTCTGGGAGAAGTCATTAAGCTAGGGCCTCACATACTTTTTCCTCCCTGCAATGTGAATGTTTACATGTTATGTGCAATTAAACCATGGCAACATCTAATGTTTGTGTAGTATAATGTTCAGCAGACTGTGTTCTTCTATTGTTGTGACTTAGATGACGTTCAGAGCACATTTTATGCCCAATTCATGCAAAACTCCACGTAATCCCAAGGGGTTCACATACTTTTTCTTGCAACTGTATATATATATAAAAATTATTGCTTTACTGTAGCAATGTGTTTTCTCTTAATTTATTTTAGCTGTCCTGATTACTCCCTTACATTTCTTTTTGCATTCTGGACTGCTAAGGGTGAACTTTCTTCTTTGTAATTTTTTAAGGTCAGTTTTTTTTTTTCTAATTTATTAGCTTTATTACACTAAAATAAATTGAAATCTAGAGGCCAGGATATCTAAATAACATTACATAACAGGTTGAAGACATCAGGATGAAGGGACCGTTCCAACCAGTGATGGGCTGAAGAAATCCGCTTTCCTGTTGTCCACTCCTGGGATATCCCCTCCCTCTTAGATTGTAAGCTCCAAGGAGCAGGGCCCTCCTAACCCTCTTGAATTGAACTGCATTGTTGCTGTATTGTCTCCCGTTATATTGTAAAGCACTGAGCAAAGTTAGCACTATATAAATCCTGTATAATAATATAATAATAATAATGTGGACTGCAGAGATCGCTGGATAGTGAATTTATGTCCAAGTGATAATCTGACTTGCTTCCTTCAAGGCTGCATAACGTTTGGTGCCTTCTTGGTGGCTGATACAAGCTACGGCCGTGGCATTGTGTGATTGCACCCTGATAGGGTGTCCCTGTAGAAGGGGGGTCTAGCGTTGCAGAGCCATTTGATTGCTTTGAGCTCAAACATGTTGATAGGGAGCTTGGCTTCCACGATAACCATGTCCCATGGACTCTGAGGGACTGGAACTTTCCTTCCCAATTCGAAAGATTGGCATCTGCTGTTATCCTGCTTTCCACCAAAAAGAAGGTAAGGCTATCCCTATTGTTAAGACTGGGCCAGAGAACCACCAAGCTAGAGAGTTACTTGCTTGGATGAACAGGAGAATGGGTAAGTCAAGAGAAGGAATACAATTTTTTCCAGGCCAATAAGATGTTGTGCTGGAGAGGTCTTGAGTGAAATTGAGTGAATAGAACAGCCTCAAAGGAGGCTACCCTGAGGTCTACAACTTTCATGAAGAATCTCATCGAAGGATGTCTCTTTGACCTTAATTCCCAAGCATGAGTTCTGAGAGACAGCATTTTCTGCTCTGGATTGAAAATGTTCCAGGACCAGACCCAAGTATTCCAGGTGGAGAGAAGGCTGGATGACAGATTTTTAGAAATCGATCATCCAATTAAAAGCCTTGAGCATCTGAATTGTCCTGTGGATGTTTGCAGACAGCTTGAAGGGAGGTGAGTCCTTCAGGAGAAGGTTGTCCAAATAACCTTTGACCTGAATGCCCTGAATTTTTAGAAGAGCAAGAAGAGGTGTTCTGGGAGCAAAAGGCAGTATGGTGAACTTGAAATGATTGTCTGCTACTGCAAAGCACAGAAGTTGCTGATAAAGAGGATAAATTGTAATACGCAGATAAGCATCTTGGATATCTACAGATGGCAGGTATTCCCCTTGTCCCAGAGAGGCAGACCTTGCAATTCCATATGCAATTTTGGAATTTTAAGGTATTCGTTGAGGGATTTTAGTTCCAGAATAGAATGAACTACCTTAGTTGAGTTTTGATACCATAAACAGGTTTGAATAAAATCCTTTAAACCTGTCTTGTAGGGGTTCCGGAGCAACTTCTGGGCCAAGAGAGTTCAGGGCATTCTGCAAACCTGACTATGCTTGGGCAGATTTTGACTGATTACAGAGAAGTAAGCCTGTGATTATCTTGCTCATCAGCCTGCTACCTCTGCTACGGTCTGCCATTGGTCAGCTTATCCTTTTGGTATCTGGACTCTGCTTGCGCCTGAACAGGCCATTAGTCTGCTGACCACACTATACTATGCTGTTTATCAGCTATCCGAGGATATCACCACTCTAGCATGTGTCCTACTTGTTTACTGGCTGTTGATTATTATTAGATTTACTGTACATATTGTGCTATGGTTATACAGACACTAGGTTAATAAAGGAACTAATCTGCATGGTTTAAAAAAGTATGAATAAAGATTAAGATAAAAACCGTAAAAAAACTATAAATGCTTGGTATGTATCAGCTTAAAGCGGAATTCATCCACCACTTCAAAAGCTGATGCAGACTATAACTTCATCTATAAAGATATGATATAATACAGAGGCATACTTATCTTACTCCATGGTCCTGTGGCTCTACAGTGCTGGAATGCTGGTGGGCACGCCCATGTCATTATGCACATCGCAGGGCTATTGGTAGCCGTGTATCCTGCACTGTGCATGATGACATCAGGAGGGACAGGAGCTAACAAAAATGGTCATAAAATGGCAAGAGGAGCAGCTTTAGAGAACTGGTCGTCTCAACCAACTTCAGCTGGGAGGAAGACTACAGGACCACAGTAAAGGTAAATATCCCTCTTCTGTACATCACCCCCTGGTTAAACAAGCATTATGTGGGGGAAAGTGGCATTGATATTTATTTAATGTAAGACTGAACGTAGGCTTTAAAAAGGTAGAGTGCAGAGTAAGATTATTATCAGTAATTGTATGCATCCTTAGCCTTTTGTGGCAACTTACTTGCTTCCCACAAGAATTAGCCATTTGTGCCAACTTACTTGTTTCCCCCAAGAAAATAGCCACTCTGTGATCCTTGGCCATAGTCTAGCTGTAGATCCTGCACAAAGAAAGAAAAAAGAAAACAAAGAATACAAAAAGGTCAGACAAACAAAAAATTAACAATGAATTGTGATTACCAAAGATGTTAGAAAACTCTACACTCCTTGGAGGGATGGAGGGTGCAATAAACAGTTGCACCCCTTTTCTAAAATGACTTCACTTACACAAGGCATTTTCTTGCTTTATGGGCCCTAACCTGGCTTAGTATATTGTGAGAATGTGTAAATAAGCTTCTTTGACTATTTCTGCTGATGGGAAAAATAACACACAAACTAATAGCAGCCACCCATTCTGCCTCTTATAGGCACAGGCCTTATAATGCCTAATGTCAACAAAAAACAGGAAATCAGCATTTTTTCTAATAAAATTATCTGCAACAGCATTATGAATCTGTGTGTGGAGCTGCAGGTAGGGGCATTTTGCAACTAATGCTAAGAGGACTTGGCAGGCCAAAGCTCTAAGGACAGAGACAAGTCAAGGTATTTAAAAAAGAATTCCACCAAACATTTCAAACATCATACAGGTGTAATGTTACATTAATAAATACCAAGATATGAAACAAAATTGCATCAAATAGTTTAAACCATGAAAACTGGCTCCAGACAATGCTACACTATAAACCAAACACAAAAGTCATCAATAACTATGTTACAATGACACTGACCATACAATAAAACTTGTGTTACTGCTGCATTTTCATCAGGAACAAAACAAATGTATACAGTTAGGGGTCTATTTATAAAAAAATCACTTTGCAAATGTCACAACATTCATTCTGCCACAATATAATCAAAGGGATGGGGTCTCTGGGTGGCATCACTGACCATATATGGAAATTAAAATGGTTAGTCCATGATTTCAATAGGATTCCCGTGATGACACTAACCGAATATGCTAATGTCCATAAGTGGTCAATGATGTCACTGGAAACCCTGCCCCTTTACTTATATTTCATCAGGGAACAGGAGAGGACATTTGCTAGAAGCCAAACAATGGTTTCAGATGAGTCAGCAATTTTTTTTCCCTGTAGGTTGTCGGGCATCCTGATTACCATGATGAGCTATGAATTTACATTTTGGGACTTTATTTTAAATTTAAAGTACTTGTCAAAAAGTGTGTCTGTGTTTATCACTGTCTTTTTTGTGAATGAGTAGGGGTAATAAGTGCCCCCTATTCATTCACAGCTTTTCATAGATTTGTGAACCTCTGTTCATCTTTCCTTCTGAGGCTCAATGATTCTCTAAGATGCCCTTTTTATATCTAGTTATGTTACTGACCTGTTGCCAATTAGCTTATTTCGTTTAAAAATGTTCTTTCAGCTCTTCCTTGTTAGTACCTTCAAACATTTGAAATGTTTTCTATATAATAAAATATGGGTTTATGAGATTTGCAAATCATTGCATTCTGTTTGTACGTAGATTTAACACAGTGTCCCAACTTTTGTTGTGTGTGTATATGTATACATATACACACATACTTAAGTATGTGCTGACCCCACTCTGTCATTTTAGGTGACCTACCACTTCTTGGCTGAGTTGCTGCTGTTCCCAGTTGCTTCCACTTTGTTATAATACCACTAACAGTTGACCGTGGAATTTTTAGTAGCAAGGAAATTTCATGGATAGACTTATTGCACAGGTGGCAACCGATCACAGTACCATGCTTGAATTCACTGAGCTCCTGAGAGCGACCTATACTTTCACAAATATTTAAAAAAGCAGTCTGCACGCCTAGGTGCTTGATTGTATACACCTGTGTCCATGGAGGTGATTAAAACACCTGAACCCAACGATTTAGAGGGGTATCCCAATACTTTTGGTAATATAGTGTGTTTTGTGTGTGTATATATGTGTATTATATATATATATATATATATATATATATATATATATATGTTTATATATATATTCCTGTCTAAATTGTCCTAGTTTCATCCCAGGCCATGCGGGATCTCCTGCATGGTAGGGGTTGGGGAAAGACCTGGCAACCTACCCTGTAAAATAATTGCTAAGAGAATTCATGGGAAAAGTCGCTTACGAGTGACGGTCCATGCAACCGCCAAGGGTCGGATACGACTGAATGGATATATATATATATATATATATATATATATATATATATATACACACACACACAGTGGTGTTAAAAATAATAGCTGTCAGACATCACTAACCTGATCAATCACTGTTTTTAGTAGAAATGATATTTCTACATGGCAAATAATTTACTAGCAGGTGTAGTAGAGTAATAGAAATCCAACAGACCCAACAGTCATGACATGCATGCTGCTGATTCTGTGTAATTGAATCACTCATTGAAAGGGGCATGTTCAAAATAATAGCAGTGTGAAGTTCTATTAGTGAGGTCATTCATTCTTTTAAAAACAGGTGGCAATTATTGCCCTTATTTAAGGAAGGAAGGCAGCAAATGTTGTACATGCTGGTTACAGTGCATTTCTCTCTGAAATTCTGAGGAAAATGGGTCGTTCCAGAGGTTCAGAAGAACAGCGTACCTTGATTAAAAAGTTGATTGGAGAGGGGAAAACATATAAAGAAGTGCAGAAAATGATAGGCTGCTCAGCTAAAATGATCGCAAATGCTTTAAAATGGCAATCAAAACCTAAAAGACGTGGAAGAAAGTGAAAAACTACCATTCGAATGGATAGAAGAATAGCCAAAATGGCAAGGACTCAGCCAACAATCAGCTCCAGGAAGATCAAAGAAGGTCTAAAGTTACCTGTGAGTACTGTTACAATTAGAAGATGCCTATATGAAGCCAAGCTATCTGCAAGAAGCCCCCGCAAAGTCCCACTGTTGAAAAAAAAGACGTGCTGAAGAGGTTACAATTTGCCAAAGAGCACAATGACTGGCCTAAAGAGAAATGGCGCAACATTTTGTGGACTGATGAAAGTAAGATTGTTCTTTTTGGGTCTAGTGGCTGGAGACAGTTTGTCAGATACCCCCAAACACTGAATATGGGGATGTTTCTCATACTACGGTGTTGGGCCTATTTATCGCATACCAGGGATCATGGATCAGTTTGAATACATCAGAATACTTGAAGAGGTCATGCTGCCTTATGCTGAAGAGGAAATGCCCTTGAAATGGGTGTTTCAACAAGACAACAACCCCAAACACACCAGTAAACGTGCAACATCTTGGTTCCAGACCAACAAGATTGACGTTATGGAGTGGCCAGCCCAATCCCCGGATCTTAATCCAATAGAAAACTTGTGGGGTGACATCAAAAATGCAGTTTCTGAGGCAAAACCAAGAAATAGAGAAGAACTGTGGAATGTAGTCCAATCATCCTGGGCTGGAATACCTGTTCACAGGTGCCAGACGTTGGTTGACTCCATGCAACACAGATGTACAGCAGTTCTCAGAAACAGTGGTTATACAACTAAATATTAATTAAGTGATTCAAAGGAAAGCAAAATCTTCAAATATTTTTCAGTTTATATAGTGAATGTTTGAGTTTGTAAAGAAGAATACAAACACTGCTATTTTTTTTTGAACAGTCTAATATTCACTTTTCTTCAATTTTTGTAGTGGAACAACACAAATTTGATATATTTTTCTTCATGTTTTGATTTGGATTAAAATGTGTAGTGTTCCCAATGCATTTGTGTGTATGGAAATAAAAGCTATTAGAAGGATTTTGAGCTTTATTCACTTTTTTCAACACACTGCTATTATTTTGAACACAACTGTATATATACATACATACATACATATATACACACACACGAAACTCAAAAATTAGAATATCAGGCAAAAGTTCATTTATTTCAGTAATGCAACTTAAAAGGTGAAACTAATATATGAGATAGACTCATTACATGCAAAGCAAGGTAGTTCAAGCCGTGATTTGTCATAATTGTGATAATTGTAGCTTACAGCTCATGAAAACCCCAAATCCACAATCTCAGAAAATTTGAATATTGTGAAAAGGTACAATATTCTAGGCTCAAAGTGTCCCACTCTAATCAGCTAATTAAGCCATAACACCTGCAAAGGGTTCCTGAGCCTTTAAATGGTCTTTCAATCTGTTTCAGTAGGAACAACAATCATGGGAAAGACTGCTGACCTGACAGTTGTGCAAAAAATCATCATTGACACCCTCCATAAGGAGGGAAAGCCTCAAAAGGTAATTGCAAAAGAAGTTGGATGTTCCCAAAGTGCTGTACCAAAGCACATTAATAGAAAGTTATGTGGAAGGGAAAAGTGTGGAAGAAAAAGGTGCACAAGCAGCAGGGATGACCGCAGCCTGGAGAGGATTGTCAGGAAAAGGCCATTCAAAAGTGTTGGGGACTTTCACAAGGAGTGGACTGAGGCTGGAGTCAGTGCATCAAGAGGCACCACACACAGACGGATCCTGGACATGGGCTTCAAATGTCATATTCCTCTTGTCAAGCCGCTCCTGAACAACAAACAACGTCAGAAGCATCTTACCTGGGCTAAAGAAAAACAGACCTGGTCTGTTGCTCAGTACTCCAAAGTCCTCTTTTCTGATGAGAGCAACTTTTGGAAACATTTGGAAACCAAGGACCCAGAGTATGGAGGAAGAATGGAGAGGCACACACTGCAAGATGCTTGAAGTCCAGTGTAAAGTTTCCACAGTCTGTGTTGATTTGGGGAGCCATGTCATCTGCTGGTGTTGGTCCACTGTGCTTCATTAAGTCCAGGGTCAACACAGCCGTCTAACCAGGAGATTTTGGAGCACTTCATGCTTCCTTCCGCAAACAAGCTTTATGGGAATGCGGACTTCATTTTCCAGCAGGACTTGGCACCTGCCCACACTGCCAAAAGCACCAAAACCTGGTTCAATGACCGTGGGATTACTGTGCTTGATTGGACAGCAAACCCGCCTGACCTAAACCCCACAGAGAATCTATGGGGCATTGCCAAGAGAAAGATGAGAGACATGAGACAATGCAGAAGAGCTGAAAACCGCTATTGAAGCATCCTGGTCTTCCATAACACCTCAGCAGTGCCACAGGCTGATAGCTTCCATGCCACGCCGCACTGAGGCAGTAATTGCCGCAAAAGGGGCCCAAACCAAGTACTGAGTACATTTGCATGCTTATACTTTTCAGAGATCCGATATTGTTCTATGTACAATCCTTGTTTTATTGATTGCATGTAATATTCTAATTTTCTGAGATTGTGGATTTGGGGTTTTCATGAGCTGTAAGCCATAATCATCACAATTATGTCAAATCACGGCTTTAACTATCTTACTTTGCATGTAATGAGTTCATCTCATATATTAGTTTCACCTTTTAAGTTGCATTACTTAAATAAATGAACTTTTGCACAATATTCTAATTTTTTGAGTATATATATATATATATATATATATATATATATATATATATATATATATATACACACACACACACACACACACACACACACACACACTACACACACACACTACTACACACACACACAGTGAGGAAAATAATTATTTGATCCCCTTTTTAGGTTTGCCCACTTACAAAGAACTGAAGGGTCTATAATTTTTATCATAGGTGTATTTTAAATGATAGAGACAGGTCTGGAGACTGGCCAGGCTACTTCATGACCTTAATGTGCTTCTTCTTGAGCCACTCCTTTGTTGCCTCGGCAGTATGTTTTACGTCATTGTCATACTGGACAACTCATCCATGACCCATCGTCGGTGTTCTGGAGGGAAGAATGTATTGTAAAATTTTACAATACATGGCTCCGTTCATTGGCCCGTCAATGAGGCAAAGTTGGCCCATACCTTTAGCCCCAAAGCATAATGTTACCACCTCCATGCTTGACTGTAGGGTCTTAGGGTCATAGTCAGCATTTTTCTTCCTCCAAACACAGCGAGTCGAGTTTTGGTCTCATCTGACCACAGCACTTTCTCCCAATCCTTCTCTGAATCATTTAGATGTTCACTGGCAAACTTCAGATGGACCTGTATATGCACCTTCTTGAGGAGGGGGACCTTGCTGACGCTGTAGGATTTCAATCCATGGCGGAGTATTGTGTTACCGATGGTTTGTTTGGTGACTGTGGTCCTTGAGAACATTGCCTTGAGAACATTCACAAGCTCCTCCTATGTAGTTTTTTGCTGATCCCTCACTTTTCTCATGTTCATCCTTACCCCATGAGGCGAAATCTTTCATGGAGCTCAGACTGAGGGCAATTGATGGCTATGCTGTATTTCTTTCATTTGCGAACGCTCCAAAAGTTGTCTCCTTCTCACCAAAAGCTTCTTGCTGATGGTCTTGTAGCCCATTCCAGCCTTGTGCAGGTCTACAATCTTATCCCTGACATCATTTGGCAGCTCTTTGGTCTTGCCCATGGTGGTGCACAAGACATTCTGTGGACAGGTGTCTTTTATACACATAACGAACTGTCATTAGGAGCACCTTCTTAAGTTGACAGGGCTAATCTGTGTACCACATGAGCCCATAATCAGTCTGTGGGAGATAGTTATTGTTGGTTGGTAGGGGATCAAATACTTATTTTACTTTCTGAACTGCAACTCAATTTATACCATTTGTATCATGTGTTTTTTCTGGATTTTTGGTTGAAATTCTGTCTCTATCATTTAAAATACACCTATGATAAAAATGATAAACCCTTCATTTCTTTGTAAGTGGGCAAAATTACAAT